GAAACAGGCAGCAGACAAAAAGAATGATGGGCAGATAAACAGAAGCAGTTCCCATGCAACTCCCAACATGTGTCTCAGAGGAGACAAATTATTTTTACTCATCCACACCTAGGTAACACACTCACACACACCTTAGCAGAACACACAGAAGTGTAAAACAGCACATTCATTATCTAGTGTGATGGTTTTGCAGAAACATAGACACGCACAGCAGAAGGCCGCAGGGGAGCGGAGGAGCTTTTTAACTCCTGAGAGACCAAAGACACAGGGATGTACACTGTGTTACAACACCTCTGAAACACCCTCTTCCTGCCCAGCACACTTTTCCCTGTCTCCAATTTTCACCTCAACATGCCTTGCCATGGATTTTGGAGGTCAGTTTCACCGAAGCAAAAGAAAACAATCACAATAAAATTTTAGATAACTGTGGCTACCCCCCAATCCTTTAGATCGTGTGCATGTGTGGAGGTGTGAAGGGTGTGTGAGAGAGATTTTATGTAAAAAAAAAAAATAAAAAGAGTATGTGTTAAGAAAAACACTACTACGATCATTTCTACAAATACAAAAAACAGTTACAGAGACCACTAGAGTTTACATTTAAATGATTCAATGACAACACAGTAATGATTCCGTTAGCCTTAATGATGTAGAAATCCTGAATTTAATACAGGTAAAACGATGTTGACACTTCATTTAAAAAGATGTTGAAGTAACTAAATCTCCAAGCGGGTCACATTAAGGATCATTGCAATTAGCAGTACCTGTGCCATCTCATCCCTGTTGGTTTGTTCACTCTGGGAATAAAAAGGGTGCCAGTTCCCGCTGAGGTTTTTATTTAGGATTGTTTTTTCCATCTGGTGTGTTTGGATAAACGACCAACCAGTAATTAACTAATTAAAATGTATAATTAAATGAACACACTAAAGATCACACACACTGATTTATAGTGATGACTTTGTAAAAAGGTCTTTTGATCACCGGACACATGAACAGGGTCTCATTTCAAGTACTGTTTCATTCTTCAACAGTACTGTATGCGTGTGTGAGTGTGTGATGATGAGCAGTGGGTGTAGTGGACATCAGGTCATTCTGACTGAGCCTCACATCATGGCTAAAATAACTCTCTCTTACAAACACACGCTGAACAGGAAACCACAGACACACACTCAAAGTCTCTAACACAGTTTTAAAATAGCTGGCAAGTGGACACACACACAAACACACACACTTACTCACAGAGGGTAGTGAAGGAGACAGAGAAAGCGCAGAGAGATAAAAAGAAAGAAAATAAGAAAGAAAGATGGCAAGGTAGAAAAAAACACACGCACGCGCACTTGCAGCAATGTGGTTCCAGGCTGATGTAGTTAACCACTGTCATGATTGAGTTACACTGATTTATTGCTTCCTATGCCCCTATCATCATCTACCATGAGCTACACACACACACACACACACACACACACACACACACACACACGTTCTCTCTCTCTCTCTGTTTTGTAATCATATTTTCTCTTTGGTTTTATTCTATTCTTTCTCTTATTTCTCTGGCTGGGGGAGGAGGTTGGTAGAAACCTGACCTCTGGGGCTGCTGGAGGAGTTCATCAGGGAAGAGTTCTGGGACTCAGCCAAAACAGCAGGAAGAAGGAAAGAGACTGTGTGTGTGTGTGTGCACGCGCTCACATGTAAAGAACAGAAGGAGGCTGCTGCCTTTCATGGGTTACACTACATGCTGATGGTGAAACATGCAGCATTTCATCATCGCTTTAAAAAAATTATTTTGAATTATGTTTGGCATATTAGTATATTTACCGTCATACAAACAACTTGTGAAAACCAAACCATGAAGTATGAGTTTTACATTGACCAGCTGCATCAGACTTGGCAGGATACACAGAGGTGCTAGAGTGATGGAGAGAAAGGTATGTGGGAAGTGAAGCATGAGCTGTAACATTTAGTTACACAGATCTAGAGTCATGACATGATGCACAAAAACACAGAGTAAAAAAAGATCAGGCAACAAGTGGAAAAACACTGGACATGATTAAGAAGGCTGTAGCATGGGTGAACTATGAAGAGCTGGGTTATACAGTATATACATATATATATATTGCAGGTCTTGATAACTAGATGTCTCAGGTGAGCAGGCGAGTAACAGGTGTGCAGGTGATTGGACACCCAGGGAGAAAGACCGGAGCGCCATGCCAAACAACACACACACACATACACAGGAGAAGAAGAAGAAACACAAGGAAGGCGGGAACAGCAGAAACACTAGGACCTGAGGGAGTGGCATAGCCAACTATAACAATAGCAAAACTGCTAATGTGAAATTCCAGGTACTAATCATCATGACCATGGTCTGGTTCATTCACAGAAACCCTGCAGAAGGGTCCTGAATGGACTACCGCACATATATCTGCAAATTTGTTTATGTGTCACAGTCTGTTTTTAAGGGAGTTCTCCATCCACACACAGCGTCACTAGAAATCCACCAAGCTGTTATCCACCATTTTTGGTGGAAGCAGGATTTGAGGTTAGTGAGGTAACTTAAGGTTTAACTCTGGGTTTTCAGTCCCACGACGGTGAGCATGGTAACTTGTGCTTTTGTATACCCATATCAACAGAGACTGATTGAAGAACTAAAGCCGTGTGCTTGTTGTAATTAAAGTAAGCCTACTTACGCATCATGAAGATAATTTAGAACAATGTTTGGGACATTTTTGAGTGTGTTAAATAAATAAATTCCATTTTTGAAGTGATGAGAAGTTCTTGAAAGTGGGTTGGAACGAGTACTTATTTAGTCGAAACACAGACACAGCCATTGCAGCTGAGAGAATACATCTAAACAACATGTGCATTTAATGGAATACACAAATAGTCAGATCTACTCATGCCCTAATAATAAGGCAGTGATATTATAAGCCTGTTAACTTACACATTCACCCAGCTGGCAATGTTTTGTCTTCCTGCAGCTGCAGCTATGTGGCTTTTAGCCTGGATTGTGTGGTTAACTTCTTCAAATTTGTCTAATATTATATTTTGAACTTGCTTCTTAGTATAGTACCCCAGAAAAGGGTCCACCATGACTGTCATACGTTAGCATCCCATGAGTACTAAAAAGCCAGACCAGTATTTCCAGTTGTGTCAGTGTTGCAGTGTGCATTTGAGATCATTTGAAGATCATTTCTGGTGGTATAATCTCCAAAAATAAATAAATAAAAAGTCAATTTTAGTGTGTTTCTGTATTTGGTTGTGTTGGTCTGTATTCGCAGCATGTTTTGCTAAGCTGCATATGTGTTGTCAAATGGTTAATGTGTTTGCCGCATTTTTATCCTAAAATCTGCTCATATGTTGTTGAATTGGTGACAATGTTTTCTTCATTTACATGTGTTATATTAAGCTGCAGTGCTTTGAACCCCCAGGAACATTGTGCAAAGTACTTTTAAATGGATTTTTGTTTGATTCTTAAGCCTGCTTATATATTATAGTATGTGCAGAAAGTACATTTATCACAATGTGTTTTGTTTTGTCATCAAGTTTGCTATTTCACTGAATTGCATTTACAGCAGACGCAGCAGTGCAGTGAACTGTAGTAAACAGGGAAATCAGTTTTCCATACCAAAGACCCTGTATGACCTTCTCAAGTGTCCTTGAGCAAGAAATTGGCTTGTCACCCGCTCCTGGCAAGATGTTCTGTAACTGAGCCTGAATCTCTGACCTCTCAAATACAAAAAGATAAATCTCTTGAGGGGAGTATTTAAACACACAGGCAGGGACAAGCCAAAGGTAGCATGTTTTATGAACTTTGTTAGATAAGTTATTCTCTGCACACATTGTCAAGTGATAACTTTATTGCAGTTAGTAATGCTTTAGAGTTGCAGAGTGTAATACAACACTGTGCTGCCTTTGTGTTTGCTACTAACATAGTAAATTTTGTTTGTTGTGTGTGCTGATGGGGTCCAATAAATCACAAATATGGATGTGTGCAAATGAGTGTGCGTGAAAGCAGGTGTGTTTTTCTTATGTTGTTACATAAAACCTTTTTCTGAAGGTTATTTCTCTTCCTTTCTGTGTCCCCGTCAGTTTGGGGAGACAGATGAAACTGGACAGCTGTCAGCACATAATGTATCATAGAGTTTGCTGTGACGTAGTATGCACACCAATTGTACACTGTCTGAGCTGTGGCAGTGGGATATATTCTGAAAACTACACAATACAGCTAGAGTAAATTAACATTTTATTATAATGTAAAACATAAAAAATATTGAAATTCTTAATGTTCTCCCCAAAATGGGAACACAGGAGTCTCCTGGATAATTTTTTGAGACTGTAAATGTATGATGTGGTTATCAGTTTTATTTATATAAAGAATTGTGCCGTGACACCCACTAGCCTCAGCCATTGTTGCTATGTAGAAGAAGCTCCATAGCTAGAAGAAAGCTTTATTGTTGCAGATGGGAACCAAGCACTGACCTGTATTTGCAGAATTATGATCCAAATCCAAAAGTGACCACATCTAAACTGCAGAATGTTTTATTAGGGTTTGTACAAAGCGTAATCTGTAGCTTCCCCTCACTATTTATGAAGAACATTTTAAGCTTGGTAATTGGATGTTAAAAGTTAAATGCTCCTTAAGATGTGTAGTTGATTTCTATTTGTGTCTATATAAGCCTTGGAAGTCACCAAACATTGTCTGAAAAGAAAATCACTTACGTCTTGAATCCCACGGCGCACAGCTCTATGACACTACGTTTGTGATGCAGTTTTGTTCCGTTCTCCACGTGGCTTCACACCCTTCATGGAGCGTTTCAGAAGCAGAGCGTTTTGCTTGCCCAATTTTGTTGTCATATTTTCTTTATTTGATCAGTTCTCCTTGATTTTTTGTGCTTCTACCATGGGTAAATGTGTGTAGTCTTTTTTGTGTCTATTGTTGATATATGACACGGGGTGAAAATTGCGCGGTATTAACTGTCATATTTTTGTTTTCTTCTCCATAGTTATGATGAGTGTGTTGGCCCAGGTTCAACTCAGATCTACATACCAACAGACGACCCACCTCCTTACTCCCTTTTGGACCCCTTTCAGAGAGGGGCAGAGCAGGAGGAGCAGCCTAACTACACCAGTCCAGATCCTTCTCAATACTGTGGAGAGACCTCAGCCAGCGCCACCTGGTTCTCCCCCTCACACTACCCACTGGGACTACAGGAGCAGGAGCATCAACACATCGCATCCATCTCCTTCCCGCTGGAAGCGGCGCCGCCTTATGAGTCAGTGTTGGCCGAGCAGCGACAGCCCCTCCCTCTCATGCCATGTGACCTCTATAAACACCAATCAGAGAGGGAGGATGATGGCAACTCCCGGCAACCAGGGGCAAACCAGATCTTGTAGGATAATTAACTTGTTTCTTTCACCTGCAATGTTGGTTGTCCCCAGATGAATTTAACAAACACGTGTGATGTGGGGCACAAAACGAGGCGCTGCTGTGACACCAAATAATGGACATAAATGAGAAGCACACATCTTCCACACAGTTACTAACACCTAATAAGGCTGAAACTTTACAGACATCAGCTTCTCAGTGTACTGAAATGCAGCCAGGACTTCAGTTTTCAACAATTTAACTACAGTTTGTTTCTGGACAAAATAAAAACTCACTAATTGCGTTGTACTGTAATGTTTCTGGAATGAAAGCTTCTCTCATAAAAGGTTTGTCATCCTAATGATACTCACTTGGACAAAGACTCACCTCCATCTGGTTAACACCATTGTCCAGTTCAGTTTTTGCCATGTTTTGACTGTTAATCTATTTTTCTTGAATGAGGACGGTGTAGAGTTTAGACCTCTACAACATCTATTCATCACACTGTACATGACGACAAGCTGACTTGTCTTTGGAAGAAAGACTGAGTCTAAACAATGTCAATGTGGTATTTAGTAGTATAGTTTAAGGTATCCACAAGCATACAGAGTACCCCCCAAACCCTTCTAATTTTTTTTTGGTATGATCCTCACCTAAATGATGTTTTGGATGAAAGTATATTTGTGCATGACATTGTCAGCTACCAGAACACTACTGCTGATTTCCAGTCTCTATAGTGTGTAAACATTTAAAACAGTGTTCTGTTCTGTAGCTTCCAGTGTGGTGGTAGTGTCCTAAGTGGTTAGAAGAATGACTTTGTGGTGAAATGGTTGCAGACATAAACTAATTAGGAAATGACCTGGACAGGAAATATCAACTCCCCCACCTTTCCAGTTATGTCTGTTATGTCTTTAAGAAAGGCATTATGATGATGTTATGAAAGTCAGTGATAAATATTTGCAACATTCATCTATCACCAGAGAGGTAGTTTATCCACCGTTGTACAAATTGTCATAACTCTTTCTATCAAGGGCTCTAGTTTATTATCGATTCTGTAACTGGACCCAAACAGCAAAATGTAGCTGGGAGCCCTCCTGCTGATGGGGGGAATCGTGAAACAAAAAAGTGACACATTAAACTGTAGACTTTAACACTCCATTCACTTGAGAAATGGATGCTTATGTCTTTGTCTGTTTCTCTCTTGGCTTGAGCCATTGTGGAGTTTTTTCCCCCCTTATTGCACTAAAGCTGTAGCTTTCCAGACATCAGTTAAACCTACAGTAGAGATATTTTGTCTCCCCCTTCTGGCAGTGAGGGTAATTACACAATTACCTATTATCGAAGAATGCTCATAACGTATGCCAACAGGTGAGCTTGCCCCGGGCTCCTGTTCAGAAATACTTACAAAAATACAAAGAAATGTCCACAGTTCCAAGACAATGATCCATCATTTAGGTAGAGTAAATGTGATAGCTACATAGCCTGCTCCAAAGTTAAGCAACATCTGTGTCTGCCATCAGTCCCTTCTCTTCTCTCAGCGCTCTCCAATGTGTAAAAGCTACACCCATGGTTATCCCTGTTTCTTTTTTATTTGGACCACTGGCTCTGCCATGCTCATATATTCAAGTTGCTTTAGTCTACTTTGTCGCTGAGGTTGCTCCAGAGCCACGTAGAGAGATTGACAAGGCTTTATTGGCATGACTGATTCAGATTCAGATTCATTCTTTATTGTCCTCAGTGGAGGAAATTTGTTTTCACTGTCCGTACAAAGAGCACCTTAAACATGGATTCTTCACACAAACTACATATTGCACACATATACAGACAATGTACACATATCTACACATAACATATTTATGACTGCACACAGCATTGTCAAAGCATATTAAGACAAACACATACAACCATTATAAACAAAACAAACAATAAACAATTCTCAATAAGAATACCTTCTCTCCACTGGACCTTATTTTCAGCAGTAAATGGAGCTCTCTTGTGCAGTTCTCTACATGGCTTTGGGTTTTGTCCCCCCTTCAGCTCTGGCAAGCCAATCTTTGCTGGTTGACGTAAAACACATCACTACTGGTTTGCCAGTGCAGGAATGTTGCCACAGACACCAGATTTAAAAACTCGATTGTGTGAACATGTTTGGCTTGAATGTAACAGATGTTCATTTATATGTCAAAGTCCTGCACTCCAGCTTTAACCTGCATAAGCAACAAATGGGTAATTTAAATATTGATTCATTTTCAGATTATTTTCTTGATTCATTTATTAATCGTCTATCAAATGACAAAGAATAGAGAAAAATTTCCATCACGATGTCTTAAAGCCTCTTCAATTTGCTGGGTTTTGTCTGACCACAGTCCAAAACACAAAGATGTTAAGTTTACTTTCAAATAAGACAGAAAAAAGTTTAGAATTCTCACAGTTGAGGAAAGAATGATAAACTGATTAATCAACAAATACTTTCTGCTCTATTGTAAACAAATTGACATCCAAACAAAATTTTCTTTTGCATGTTTTACTACAAACTTTTTCAAAAACAGCAGAAATTGTGAATGTTTCTTTTTAGGTTGGCCAAATGTAAACTATATGTCTAATACAAAGCAAATGTCTAAATGCAACGAGTCTGCATTAGAAATGGAATTTTTATTTGTGAAAGTGATGCATCTCAGAAACTTTTTGATTGAGCAAATCTGCAAAACATTGAGTACATTCAAAAGTAGAGTAGTACGAAGGTCACATAGTGCAGCACAAATTACAATTGCAGTGGTGTTGTAGATGGGCATTGGAGTGTCTGTCTTCCACCCTGGCAGCAAAGCTACCATTCCTGTCTTAGTCAGCAATGGAAATTTTAATAAATCATAAACACAAACTCTTCCTGACCTTAATCAACAGGTTTCATTTGTTTGCCTTAAATACAGCTTAACCATAGTTGAGTTAAATGTTGTGCATATGTAGATCAGTGCATCTAACACCCTGGAAAAAAAGGTGCCCAAGAGCTAAGACCTCTACTATGGCCACCAGAGACCCTGTTACACCTCCTTAAAGCTCTCTCTGTTTTATACAATTTACCATATTGTGACAAAGACAGAAGCAAAGGAGCAATGTTTCAATGTTATGTGTTTGTGGAGGCAAAAGCTGGGCTATCCAGGAGACACATAACCATTTATCACCATATATTGAAGCAGGAAGTACTTTGCATAACAATGGAACTGTAATTTATAATTTTAGAATAATAAGTCCAGATATTTTTTTTGTACTTGTTCTTTAATTTAGAAAAGAAGAGGTCCTTGTGTGACATTGTTTTTGTGTCAGAATATGTGCCTAATAGCCCTCAGACTGTTAGCTTGAACATTGTAGCCATAATGTAATAATCTCAATGCAACCAACCCAGTGCTTTGCACTGTTATATGTTTGGATATTTTTAAAAAGAATTAGTTTACTGGTGGGGAATGGGACAGCATTAATCGAATCCCTGTCAAATACATTGTGATGGCAGATTTTATTGTGTAAAAAATGAAACATTGTCTGTTTCAAGCTGTTGTTCCAGTGATCAGCTTCATGTTATCATTTGGTTCAATTTGGCAGCTATAGACAAGTTAACTTTACAATTCACACCCTTAGTTTTGTATTCCAGCATTTAACCGCTTTCAAATGCAAATCATTTAGAGTCACATGTTAGTCAGTTTCAACACAAATCTTAACAACTCTTTTGATTATATTGTGATGGATCGACCATCTGTAGAATCACTCTTTAACCACCTCCAATGTGATTCTCTGTTTTTACTTTTATGCCATGTTTCTCCTCTCTCCATGTTTACCTCTGTTCTCTCTTTTCTTTGTCTGTATCTTTCTCACTCAACGATCAGAGAATCTTTAATACTTACCATTTCTTATTTGCTATTTGCAGAACCATTTACTTTAAATTCAATCAGTTCAAAACAAGCAAACCACAATTAATCTGGTACTAATGCACCACACATTTTCAGTTTCTTGCACTGTGACTTTTAAACACATGAAGAGATATTTTACTGAGCCCTAGGCCAATTTGTGATTTAATGATAATTCTGTCAGTGTTGTAATTAGAATAGTTATGCTATCAGAATAGTTTTTTATCATCTGGTGACAAAGGAATTTAATGTGTTCATGTGATTGACCTCATCAAATGACATGCAACGCAAAATACATTAAAGAACCTGTGTAGTGCAGACAGGCTGTATGACAAGAGGCCCAATATATTCAGAGTGCATTAATACAGTACATACTTAGATATAGCATTATAGCACTGGCATAATCAGTCCTGCAAAAACATGTTCTCACAAGAAGAAACAGACAACAAACTCACAGATTTAGTTTTTTGGAATTTGGCAGAAGGGACTTTTAGTCTCCAGGAGATCAACTGAAATCTAAAACATTTAAGCGTAGAGTTATTCCAAAAAGGACAGAGGGACTGTTGCAGAATCACGCTTTTACTGTAAAATGGTGTTCATTGGTTGTATAACCAAAACCTTGAAACTGCATCCCTAGTTCTGTCCTTATATATAAGACTAGAGTAACTCTACTCTTGTATTCATATATGTATTCTTAAATTATTAGTTGTGATTTTTTTTAACTTGATGTACGAGTATTTTTCGAAAGTTCTCTACTATATTTGGATACATTAGATGAAAAACTGTGACACTTCTAGTGACATAGATGCTTTTTTTTTTTACATTTTCTTTTTTTACATTTTTCCAAAAGTTGATTCAGTTTTTCACATAATTCCAGATTCAAGAGATATTTGTATATATATATTTAATATTTCCAAAAAGCGCCACTCCTCATTATAAAAGCATATGAATTTATGTTTATGTATTATATATAAACAAAGTCCCATTTATGTATGTTGAAAACATAAATCACAAAAAAGATCATCCCATCATGAATATAGAGCTTTACACAGTAAACTCAGTTTAACTATCGCCCACCAGAGGGTGATGCAGAACTACAATATGACATTCAGCTCACTTACCTGTTCAAGAACAAGCCACAGGAAAACCTTAGTTTGAAAGTGTGATCCTGGACACCGCATAAGATAATAAGATCATCTGGGTCTACTTTGCCATGTTTGTGTAAGTATTTAATGCTTTCTTAGATTAGAGTAAAGTAAAATGTTCATCAGGGTTATCAATATATTAGTATTTGTTCATTAAAAACACACACTGAGAACAAGTGTGATTTTTTCCTTGTCAAACTAGAGAGAAGTATTTGTCAGGTCGTTCCAGTTGTTTGCATATAATTACTTTTTTTTAAGCACTATTTTTTGGGTGCATTCTCTGTAAGTAAATGGTATAAATGTCGTATCACTTCCCATCTCTCCTCTCTCTTTCTTTCTTCGTCTGTCAAGACAACAGACGTCATGTATATATTAGGAACTGCGGTCTCTCTTTATGTTCTGTATTAGAGATTTTGTTAAAATAGTTTCTTCTGTAGAGAAGAATGAATAAAACTGAACTCTTATATGAATCTGAGTGGCTGGTTTTGAGCAATCGCTCAATTTGTGAATGAAATGGACACGCACACATTCAACTGCATACGGCACACACACACACACACACACACACAAACACACGCACACACACACACACACGCACACACACAGTGTAAGTATTTTGTCAGGTTCACATTCAAAAGAGTTCTATCAACACACAATGTTCTGTTTGTAGGGTCCACAGCAGCAAGTTAGGATAACTGATATCACAGGTACTTTATGGCTGAGAAGTCTGTGAAGATTCTCAGTCATCCACCAACAAGCGCCCAAGCCAGAGAAAAGGAACAGAACCACCTGAAGGGGGCACTTACAGCCTGTGGATACCCTAAATGGACCTTTGTGAAAACAGCCACAAGATCCAGGAAGAGCAATCATCACTTTCCAGGAAACTCAACAGACGTAACCTATTGGCCTCAGGTGAAGATGCCAACAATGGTCGTTCAGTCTTGGCCACGGGTAGTCCTAACAACCATATCGACTGTCATTACAACAGCCAGGAACACTAACGAAACAGCAGTATCAACGATCCTGACAAACGACCCCACTGAGGTTAAATAGCTTAGTTTCCCTACCAGTCAGTCAGAACTGAAGAAGTCCCTTGGATGAGGGACGAAACGTCTTCTAGTATCTTTAACCAAGTCCAGTTGCCCTTGACTTTAACCTTCTTTGGAACTTGACTTTAAATTTCTTTGGAAGCTGTAATTGTAGTCCCTGACCCCTAATCTAGTTGTATTTCTCCACTCACAACATCACACACTCTAAATTCTTAACCCCAGTACTTTAGGCCTGCTGAATGTCCAGTTGGTGTTAACTAAGGTTATCATTGCTCATTGCTGAAACAACAAGGACAATCTGAAATACATCACAACCCCTTTGAATCAGAATCAGGGAGCAGACCTGCTGTCGAGGCAGGGGCTGAGGCCCGGGGAATGGAGACTTCACCCCGAAGTGGTGGAGCTCTTGTGCGGAGAGTTAGGCCCCATAGACGTGGATCTGTTTGCATCTCAAGAGACTACGCACTGCCCGCTATGGTTTTCTCTCGTTCCTCCAGCCCTGTTGGGTCTGGACGCCATGGTACGTTCGTGGCCGAGGCTACGTCTGTACGCTTTTCCCCCAGTCGCAGGGCCGGGTTCTTCACCCTTGCCCCGCTGTATGGCGACTGTGGGTCTGGCCCCTGAGGGGGCACAGTACCTTGAGGCGGGTCTAACAGCCGGAGCAGTTGAGACCCTCCTCAGCTCCAGGGCCCCGTCCACACGGATCCTCCGTGGTGCCCGGAGGATGAGACCTGCGACTCGGTCCAAGGTTCCCACTTGGGATCTGGCGGTGGTTCTTGGGGCGTTGGCTGAGGCCCCCTTCAAACCCCTGGAGTCAGCTGAGGCTAAGCACTTGACCCTCAAGATGGCCTTTCTCCTTGCTATCACCTCTCTGAGGAGGGTGGGGGATCTCCAAGCGCTTTCGGTTTCCCCGCAAAGCCTGGAGTTTGCCCCGGGGAATATTAGGGCTACCCTGCACCCTCGTCCAGGATACATCCCTAAAGTGCCTTCTTGTGCGCCAGGGTCCACAGTGCTGCAGGCATTTTATCCTCCACCTCATGTGACTGCGGAGGACGGAAGACTTCATCTGCTCTGCCCTGTCAGAGCACTGGGTATTTACACTCTGAGGTCCTCCCGTTGGAGGAAGGCTGACCAGCTGCTAGTGTATTTTGGGTCCCCCAGGGCTGGGCTCCCTGCTCCCAAACATACTATTAGCAACTGGATTGTTCAGACTATTTCCCTGGCCTATCAGGTGCACGGTTTGCCTTCACCTGTGGCTGTGAGGGCTCATTCTACCAGAGGCATGGCGGCCTCTCGAGCCCTCCTTTCCGGGGCCTCTTTGCAGGATGTTTGTGTAGCGGCTGGTCGGGCCACTCCGCACACATTCATTCAGTTTTACAGTCTTGACCTTCCTTCGGCACCTGGCACTCGTGCGCTCTCCTCTTAGTCGTGCCACTTTATTGCACACTGGGGCAGGCGGGGTTTTCGGCACGGTTTAGTGGGTATCTCGTTCCCATAGTGTTGTAACCGACAGTTTGAGTTCCCTCGAAGGGGAACGAGACACTGCGTCGGCCCACCGCACCTCTCTCCCCGCCTGAAGAGCCTGCTTCATAGTTTAAGCTAATGATGAGTGTGTACAGGTGTGCTTTATACTCCTCCGGTTATTCCGTCACACCTTACCGTTCTAGCAACAAACCAATAGGACTGGAGTGATTTCATTCACGTTCAGACCTGCTAGGCCTAGAGGCGTTCCCATAGTGTCGTAACCGACGCAGTGTCTCGTTCCCCTTCTCGGGGAACCAGGGTTACATACATAACCCGAGACCTTCAACGGGGGTTTATTGAGGGAAAACAAACAAAAGGCGAGCACACTTATTGACAGAGTGGCTGGTTAACAGAGTACAAAAAACTAGGTGATCCTAACAGAAAGCCAAAGGTACAGGGTGGCAAGACAAGCAAGGCTGGTTACAGGCAGGCAGAGAGTACACACATAACAGACTGGGGGGTAACATGAACAATGACCAGACAAAGACAAGACAGAAACACCAGGTATATATACACAGGGACTAACGAGCAGGGCGGGAGCAACACAGGTGACAGACATGAGACTAACGAGGCAGAAAGAGAGCAGAGGAAAACAGAGACTTGACATGACAAGCAGATCTGGGGCAGTGAATAAGCGACAACACAGAAACGCACACATGTTACAAAATATCAGAACACAGAACTAGAACACAGTACAGAGCTTAACAGAGAACACAAGACCAGGAGTAAACACTAAAGACATGGACTAAAGTACAAGACTAAGAACATGACATGGAATCAAAGACCAACTAAATAACAGATAATGAACTGGCCAAACAATAACTCAGAGGAACTCAAAACACAACAGACTATATAGCAGATACTGGACACTAGACAGGACAGAACCCAAAACTCAACATACTAAGGCAGATACCAAACTCAAAAGTGCAACACAAAGAACGGCCAACCGGAAGAGCGTGACATTAGGAGAGATAAGTCACTGTTTAGCCTACCTTAAGTGCCATTTTCACACTGATGATTTAAGTGGTGTGTATAAACCATACTGTTTACTGTATACATCCTTTTTTTTAAATGTATTTCCCTTTTACAAATCAGATAATCAGCTTATGTTGAAAATAAAATATAAATGGTTCACATGTAAGACATTAATAATAATTGATAAAACCTTTGTGTTTGCTCTATTTGTGTCTTGAATCTGAGACCTTCCCCTCCAGCAAAGCCTGCGAGGCAAATATTTGCATTTTTGGAATTTCTTGAAGGACGTGGATGAGTCTGTTTACCTTCAGGCTCATTAAAACCAGCTTGCCTGGTGGAAGCCAAGATGGAAGTTGAATTTTGATTTTTTCTCTCCACCTTAGAGACAGATTCTGAGACTTATGTTGCTGCCAGATGTGAGCACAGTCTTTCACAAACTGGATGCACTGCATCTTGATTTAAGCAGACAGAGTTAACCAGATTACATTATTGTTTACAATATTCACATACAACTAGTGAGTGATTTCTTTTTGGACCCTATTTTCCTAAAACTGAACTGGGCAGATTCTTAAGATCGTTTAGACAGACAGACACACCTGTCTGTCTGGTATATAAGCCAGAGTCACAACAGGGACATCATAAACAGTAACTTCACTGTTACACATTACTGTTTCTGACTTTAAGAGCAGAGGTAAATTATTATTTAAAATCTCTTTTCAGCTTTTACTAACAATTAAAACGGATAATTGATTTTTATCATAAAACAAAAAAGCAGAGGATTGCACTAAGCCTGAATTCTCTTTTTCAGAAAATGAAAGCTCCGATTGTGTTCCTCCTCTTTGCTCTCATGGTTGGACTTAATGCAATGCCAACTGGTACTGCTGGGGACCGAAAAGGTGCGTGTACCTGTGAGAATGTCTTACTTGAATACTTGAGTAGCACTTACCAAACACTTTGTGGATTTGTTACTGACACCTGTTCTAATCTTATAGTTATTCCAGGGGATTTGGCCCTAAAAATGTTGGAGCCTGATTTCTTCAACTTCCCTGTTACAAAAGGCAGTCCAATCTCAGCGAGAAAGAAAAGACAAACTTAAGTAATTACATTATCTTACTTTCATGTTACGTAAGCCGTACAATCTGTCATCAGACTTTCCATTTCTTTGTGCTACTGCTGTGCATCTGATCTGACATTGGCAGGAGGATTCTCTAATGGATTATGGTAGTTTTGCAACCAGTTTGATGTGGGAATCATTGTCAGATCAGGTTCTGTTTAATGCTATGGACAGGTGATTCTAACCTAGATATGAAATACTTTTTATGGTCATATTCTCATCTTTACGCTGATATATATTAAAAATAACTTCACCCAAGCACCCAGCCTCTTCTATGCCATTTCATGCCCTTCCACAGAGAGTGCCGAGGCTGTTGTATGCACACAAAGTCTGACAGCAGGAGCCAATAAAAAAAGGAACAATCCTTTATCTTGATGTATTTTATTGACACAGGTTTTAATTAAATGCATCATAGCATAAATATGTTGTACTAAATATTCACCAGGGCAGTTACTTTAACGTAGTTTCTGAAAATCTAAACTTAGTGCATTAATACTACATGTGTTGCTGGGAAAAGTAATTTGAGTTTATAATTGCTGCTTGCAGCTGCTTTAAAGCATTCAACAAAGGGAACTAAAAATCTACTATATTGATTACCTATCTCATACAAGTCTCTGCAAGTAACATACTAAACTTAATGCAAACCTAAGGCTGCCTGGCAATTGGGGCATTACTTACTTATAACTTAAAAAGAATGTAATTTAATTCTGAACAGTAAATTCTATTTGCAAGAAATACTATTTTTTAATTTCTTTTGCAGGAAAAGATGTCCGTCCATGAGTGTGAAGGGAAACAGCTTTGAAAACCTCCCTTTAAATCTGGCCCACGGTGTTTGAGCCAAAATATGTTCAATAAATAAACACAACAATGAAATACGTGTCCTTGTGTTGATTATATTTGTGTATAAAAAAAATTAAAATGTAAGTATATATTTGATATTTCCATTTTAGGGTGTTATTAAGTTATAAATCAAAGACAGAAGCCAGTTTCATTAGGGGATAATAGGAAAATTATTAAATTTAAGAATATTACTTTTCTTAGGTTTTATGAAATTTTCTCCCTATAATTAGCTAATATATGTTATGTTGTGAGTGTGCATGGACTTATAGGACACCAAAAATACCATAGCAGGGTTTTTCATTTAATATTACATTGCAACTTTGTCTATCATATAAAGTGACCAATAAAACATGAAATGTCTTTGTTTTTAATTTCACCTAAATCACATAACAAAACATTTCACTTCAAGAAAACCACCTCTATGTTTGTATAGATGGATAATTTATATTGTAAAATATAATCATGTTGTTCAGTCTTCTCTGCCTCTTTGATACGTAACGTTACTGTTTTTGGAGATTCATTTCACCTTATTGCCCCTCCACAGAAAACATGGGACCTTTTTAAAAGAAAAACTTCAGGCAAGAAACAAAACTTTTAAATTTTACAAAATGCCGAAATGCCTGTTTTATTACTTAACTCACATTGTTTACAGTATATATACACAACCAGTAAATGTAAACCAGTAATGGAGTGATGTATTTCTATAAATACTAACACTGCTTGTCAGTTTGTATCATGTCATAATCTGACTCCTGTGAACCCCTCATGGCTTTTACCATGTAGCCCTCTAGTGGCTCATTCGTGTAAATACATGTTCAGGCTGCAGCAAACTAGACTACTCGCACAGACAGTTCAGTTTTTAGATAAGCCTGTTCATCCTTTCTTGGTGCAAATCGTTGAAGACCTCTGTAACGTCACCGGGAAAACCCCCCAACAGGAACCGCAATGAAACGCCAGGAGTTTTAACTGCTATCTGTTACACTTGGTGTCAACAGTGGTGTTTTCCCTTAAGAAAGTTGTTGGTCGCCGGCTGCCATGTGATCCGTGCGCCGAACCCGGCCAAAAATGTCAACCGTGACTTGTAGCCTGTTGTCCGGTAAGCAACACCTCTCTTCCTCGGTGTCGTCCAACTGAACCGCAACACGTCGACTTTCTTTACCAGGCGGTCTTCCCCTCTTCTTAAATTCAGCCTGAGTTTCCAGCGGAGTTATCCGGTGAACAGGGAGTTTCAGCAGGGAGCAACATGCGCTCCTTAGCGGGACTGGCTGCCGTCGTGGCGGCGGCAAGTGTCTACCTCTACCTGCTGTCGGCTCATCTTCCCCCGGGACCGAAGCAAGTCCAGCTGGACTCGGAGGGGGAGGACGAGGGAGTCCAGGGGTACAGGTAGGGAACATGGAAAGAGAAAATGCAACTGTAAAAAAAACAATTTCAAACTTAAATGTTGCCTTTTTAAATTACAGACCACATTTTATTTATTATTAAATGATTCTTACTGTAATCCAGTTGGGGACTATTGGGAATAATTTACATTATGTGGGTCTTTTTGCTTTTGGCAGGACTTACATGAAAGAAAAAACAGGCTACAGATTACTTGAAAATAAAACCCAACATAAATTGAATAGGTATTTGCTGTTGTTACTTCCAACACATACAGGTAACATCCAACTAATTTAACACCACAATATTTATTAATTCTGCCCAAGCTTTTGGGTAATGCAGTATGAAAGTAGCTTACATTTACACAAGTAAGTTAGTTTCTTCTCCTTTGCAGATTCAGATTATTAATGCAAATATAATAATCTATTAAAGTATGTATGATCATAGACTGTTACCCAGCAGTATGTCTATATAAAATACATTAAGATGATGCTTATGAATGCATTTATAATTATTATCTAATGATTAGATATATCATTCAGAAAGGCTAATGATATGGATAATGGGTACATTCATATTTTGTGAATACTTTGGTGCTTTTACCTAAGAAACAATTTGAATGCATGATTTTTACTTGCAAAAGAGTATTTCATGTGATATTACTACTTTAAGTGAAAGGTCTGAGTACTTCTTCCACCACTGGCAGTGACTCAGTGGGTTTTTCCAAACATTACAGTAACGTGAACATCAGGTGGCTTAGAAACTAAATGCCCACAGCCATAATTGTGAAACTTTTTTCCAGTCTCTGTAATGTTTTGACCTGTCATCACAGGTTGTGGACATTAATTACTTATTAATTATCTTGATGCTTTGGCAATAGTGTCTTTGCACACTCATAATATCAAATAAAGCCTATTGAACTAAATTGAATTGTGAGCAGTTCAACCAAAGGGTTATTTCCCTCCTCAGATTATTTTATTTGAGGCATTTTAAGCACCCAAGAAGGCAAAAGAAAATACCAAAATCAAGAGGAAGCAGACATTTATGCCCCAAAATGGTAGAGCTGTTGTGACCCCTCTGATATTCAACCTCTTGGAGGGTCCCCGACCCCCATGTTAGAAACCACCAGATAACTGACCCATCAGCATTGTTTCCCTTCCTCTTTCCCAGTACATGCTGGGATAGGATCCCTGTGAGGGTGAATACAAGTTAAGAATGAAGGAATTAGGAACCTCTCCAAAGCTTTTCAGCTGTTCTTACATTTAGTCCGGTAAAGCAGACAGCGGATCTGAGCATTTTAACACCAATCACTTATAGATCTCTTATATTAATAACACAGCTATTTCCTTCTTATATTGGTGATCAGATCTATGTCACAAATAATAATAATAATAGTAAAAATAATGTGTCTTTTACATTCACAAGTCCTCTCCTTTCGTTCTCTTTCTTCTCAGTACATTTTGGACTGATTGCGTTACTACTCAGAATGTGTGTGTGTGTGTGTGTGTGTGTGTGTCTTGTAAGTGGTATCTTGCAGTGTGCCAGACAGTCAAGTGTGAGGTTGTCTAGGGATGATAGAATAACGCCGACCAAGACACTCTGAAGCCAAGAGCATGGCCCATCTGTGTGTCTGTGTGTGTGTGTGTGTGTGTATCTGTGTGTGTGTGTTACTCATATTATACTGTTACTTATCAAGTCATTTCAACATGGCGTGAGTGCGGCCATGTTACAACTTAAAGACAGTACGTCATTAGCCAAGTCAAGTCATCTTTATAAGTTTGGCCAAAAAAACTGTACTTTTTTAAACAAAAACGAAACCAAAAACATTACAAATTTGTTGAGTTAAAGTGTCGTCACGGAACACAAGTTTACGCAGAATGGTGCTTAAATCCAATGCTAGAGAGTCCGTAAAATAAGTAAATAAAAACAACTCTTTGGGGCAGCATCAAAAAAGACATGATTGCCTTTTAACTGTGGGAGGGACTGTAACATTTGGTTAGATGACCTCAGTGATCTGAATGTGGAGTTCAGTATGAACATGCATAATTATCATATCGGCTCAGTGATCTACTAACTGATAAACTGGGAGCATTATTTTAATTTTATGACCCACACCATATTTCTTCATATTGTCTGTGAATTGACACCTTTTAAATCCTGAAATAAACCCGTTTGTTTTCTCCCTTTGTGTAACATACTTAACATCTGGTATTAAATTAAGAGTATATTGCAGGTTATTTTATTATATTAGTACCTTATTTCATTATCAAACAATTTTATGAATTACTTTTGGACTGCTGGTTGGACAAAGCAAACACTGAAGATGTCAACTTGGGCTCTGTGAAATTGTGATTGGCTATTTTCACTATTTGATGACATTTTGTAGTCATCAAAACAGTTCAATTAGTCATAAAGTTATTGAGTGGTTAATACATAGTGAAAATAATTGCTATAGTTGCTTTTAAAATTCTCTCAACAGTAAACCTGATACGACCAAACTTCATATCAGTTCTTAGTTGAGATGAAGTTACTTCAGAGTTAAAACCCTCTCACGATAAGGAGTCTACCCCCGTAAATGAAAACTTGTGTGTGTCTGTGCATGTCCGGAGACAGAATGTTTCTCATGGAGTTATGCGTAAGCGAAATTTAAAGTGCCCACGATGACACATTTCCCTCCTTAAATACTGTATATGCAGTTTCACGTATCTAAGCTCTTTCACATGATCAACCTGCTGACCAATGACAGAAGAGAATGTTTGTCCACTGACCAGTAGAAACAAGGAATGCTGAATGTCAGGGCAGGTGGGGGAGAAAGTCAGCATCTTGAGTTTCAAGGGGGGGATTTCGGTGTGTGTGTATGTGTGTGTGTGAGGGGTGTCTTCCTACGCAGTGAGACTATTTTTGTCCCTCAATCAAATATATCCTGTTACCCTCCCACTTGCTTTGGCACACACACACACACACACACACACACGACTGCCTTTTCCCTTCTTTCTAATATGATCTTTCTTCTTCTTCTTTCTCTGTTGTTTTATAAAATCATGTTGTACAAACGTTATGTTTGTTTCACTAAAAAAAACACATATTTTCTCTTACAACTTACCCATAGTTTTGAGCTACAGCACCAATACAGTGAAAGTAAATGTAAATCTCGATTATCCCAGACACTTCAATTTATTTAAATAGCTCCAATTCATAACAGTTATCTCATTGCACTTTTCATAGAGCAGGTCTTGACCATACTTTTTAAAATATTATTTACAGAGACCCAACAATTCAAAAAAGACGGTACTGTGGTTTTTGGAATTACTTTCCACCTACTTATTAGTCCCAATGAAAACTGTCCACAGAGATCTGTGGATTATTAACTGGGACATTTAATTTAATTTAGTTTCTAAATATATGCTAATTTTCTGGTGTATGATAAAATGTAGAGCATGTATCATCTGATATTAGCTTTCGCAGATACAGTATATCTGTAAGCCAAAAAGTAACAAGAAATTACAGCACATAAATGCCAAACTAGGTTTGAGGTTATTGGAGGTCAAATCCAGTATTCGTCGGCCTACAGTGTAAGGCATTTTTCGAAATGTATGAAATCAATAAAAGAAGGAGAAGTAGATAAAGCAGGTTGTAGGAAAAAGGACAGAACCAAAAGTACATCATAACTTGCTTCATAAAACAGCTAATGGACATCGGACATCACAGACTGATGTGTGAGGCATTTTAAATGGATCCATTTAAAAACCTTCGTGTCTTTTCCTCCAGGTTGAAATTCCCATCGGATCTTGATGAGCTACGGGAGCTTGCAGAGATGCTCAAGTTTTATAAAAGAGAACATCACGGCTACGTTCTGCTGCTGTTCTGCAGCGCCTACCTCTACAAACAGTCCTTCGCAATACCTGGCTCCTCCTTTCTGGTGCGACATACTCTACGTTCTTACACACACTCACACAATTCAATTATTTTAACAAAACCTGAAGAGATAATAAGATCAAAGTCTATAGGCATCTTACAATTATACTTATTGATTTATGAAGAATATACAGTATTTAATTAGGGCTGACCCCAAATAGTCGAAAATTTGACGCTTCGATGGGCGGAGCCTGATTCGACTGTCAATTTACAAAATGACAGTCGAAGCTTTGCAGCGAAACGAGAATCATGCCATTTTGGCGATATGTCTCAACGTCTGATTTTAAGTTAATATGCAGCCTATAAAAATGTACATTTCAATGTTTAATGCTGTAAATAAACATCTAAAAAAAAAAAAGTTATTAAAGTGCATAAATAAATCCAAAATTGTAACCCTAACCCTGGGTTGTCAGTGCGCATGTGTAGGCGTAGCGTGTATATGTGTAGTGGCAGAAGAGGAACACTTGCTGTGCACAAAAACACATGATTCGACTGTCAGTCAACTATAGGCAGGATTTGACGATGCTGATTGAAGTATTTAAATCCTTAGTCGGAGACAGCCATAATTTTATTGTATAATATATTAAAAGCAAGAAATTGATTTTCAACTGATTCTGGCAGTGCATTTCAAGAAGTTTCTCAAATGAAGTGCCAAATTTTGATTCTTGCCACATTTTGATAAATACATACAGGAATAATGCACAGTGTTTGGTTAACACAGAGACTTTAATCCATTGATCTATCTGTTCATGTTTCCCTCTCTCCTTCAGAACATATTAGCTGGTGCGATATTCGGGCCCTGGGAAGGTCTGGTGTTGGCCTGCCTGCTCACCACGTCAGGCTCCACATTCTGCTTCCTGCTCTCCTCTGCGTTTGGAAAGCAGTACGTGGTTCAGTTCTTCCCTGAGAAGGTGTCCCGGCTGCAGAGGAAGGTAGGCGTCACCATTCAGTAATTAACAAGATGAAGAGTCTACAGCCATGCTAGCAGCTGTGTGAGGCTGGACTGATACAAACTGGTGCTTTGAGCTCAATGCTAATATAAGCAAGCTAACATGCTCACAGTGACAATGTTAACATGCTTAGCTTATGTATGCTTGATAAATATTTTGACCAGATGTCGCTAGATGAAAAGTTATCACCTGTTACTGTACAATTCACCGTGTGGGGAACATGAGCGTCTGTGCCAGATTTCATGGCAATCAATTCAATAGTTCTTGAGCCATTTCAGTTGGGACAAAAGTTGTGGACTGATGGGCCAAGATTGCCAAACTGCTAGCGTGGCTACTAAACATTTAACTTTGAGGAGAGTTTGCTTTTTGGTCATTATGAAGATAGGGAGATAAAGTTACTGCAATAATAGTAATAATGTGTAGCTAAAGGAACTGAAAAGTTAGAATGAATGTAATTATTTTATTAATATTAAGGAAGGTAAACCATTTGACCTTCTTTTCTCTTTTAACTTCTTACATCCTAACCTCTGCGGCTTGCTACTATGAATTTAGAATGGCCTTTAGAAACAGCCAGAACAAAAAATATACATATCTCTGTTAAAACCAAAATCTCCCCTGAGGTTTTAAAGCAGTGGAAACTGTTTCCTCTTCATTTTAGTGTAAATGCGACGTTCAGAGTTTTTTAGTTGTGTATTTTGCCGCACTGACTTATGATAGTGGAAAAATAAATTTAGGAATTGTACTTTTACTTTTATGCAGTCTTGTTAGTACCTGTATATTGAATTTAGTTAGAGAAACAGGAAGAACCTGGTAACGCTCTGTGGCTGCTTTCATCTGCGTTTTCCCTCATTTTCTCTCACCATCTTTGTCCTTTTATCTTCCTTGTTCCCTCGTCGTTTTCCTCCCTCTGTCAGGTGGAGGAAAATCGTAGCAGTTTGTTCTTCTTCCTCCTTTTCCTTCGTTTCTTCCCTATGACTCCTAACTGGTTCCTTAACATCACCTGTCCTGTCCTCAACATCCCTATGCCCATTTTCTTCTTTTCTGTGCTAATAGGTGAGACTACACACACACTAAAAAAAAACATACACACAACACAAAAAGCCACAAAAACACTGATCACTCAGCTGCTGCTTTCTCCTGCAGGTTTGATCCCCTACAACTTCATCTGTGTTCGTACGGGCTCCATCCTCTCAGAGATCTCCTCTCTGGATGATATATTCTCCTGGGGGACGCTGGCCCAGCTCCTGGCCATCGCCCTCATGGCTCTCGTGCCTGGAGCGCTGATCAAAAAGTACAGCAAAGCTCACCTCAAGGTGGACGGCATGGACAGTAATGGATCCAGTCAGGCTGAAATCAAGCAGGACCGGAAGAGACAATGATTCTGGGATGAAAGAGGAATCGCCTGGTTTGGGAATCCCAAACAAGACATTGTGTTAGCAGAACTAAGATGGAAAAAACTCTCTCCACTGGTGGGTATGTGACCTTTTGTCTTCTCCAGCCTCGTGATTTCTGTAAGGTCACACCAAAGGCTAATCATACTCATAGTATGATATGTAGTTTGAAAATGTCTTCAGGTCACGTTACTTTAAGAGTGCAGTTTCCCAATGATCTCTCAGTGCTATTACACAGAGCTTAAGTTGCAGGGGAATTGTTTGAGATGGATAAGGTCTAAGGTCCGCGGATGGAGCCCAAAAGGTGATTTGTACACTATAGAGCTCTGTACTGAACACAGAAACACTAAGTCCCTAGTTTCTTTTAAATCACTTCTTAAAATGTTTCTCTTTGTGAAAGCTTTTGGAAATATTTCATGTTTTTTTTATTTATACTGTTTTTATTTCTATTTATTTGATTATATTAATTTTCTTGTCTGTGCATATGTCCTTTGGCCTTTTTATCTCATTTGATCTATTTTTCATGTTTTTATTTCTTTTTGTGAAGCGCTTTCTTAAGGAAGTTGGAAGGTTTAATGTCTTAACACAGGAATGATGACTTCTCCAAACTATATCTTCAGTTTCAGTTAATCATTGAGATATTGTGGAAATATATAATACTCACTGACCTGGTCATCCTGTTTCCATCCCAGAGCCAACCAAAGGCTGCCTACCATGCTGCATCTGTTGTGCATCATGATGTTGTTCTGCATTTCTTTCTCGGTCCGCCATGACTGCAGTTATAAATTGGCTGACCTTCTGTCAAAGGTGTTGCCATTGTGCCAAGTTATCACTAGAGCTTTAAAAGTAATTTGCAGCGTATAATAAATATGTAGTGTAGAGCTGCATAGGAAGCCCCACTTGACCCTGTTGTGGAGATATCTGCTCTGACTTAAACACACTGGATATCCTCACAAACCTTTGCCAATTTATCTGTCTGCTTATTATTTGTCTGCTTTTGATTATGGAGATCTGACAATTAACCAGCTAGTCAATATTGTTAATGTCTTCTCCTTACATATGTTTACTGAGTAACTCAGTTTCCAGCCATTATGGTTTCCATGCAGAAAAAATGTTTCAGCACGTTTGGACATTTAAATGTCTTAAGATTGAGTATGTCTGTCTTTTCCTAACATCACTTATACATGTGTGTTAATGTAGCTGTGGTTGCATTCACAGATGAGTTTTATAGTAGCAGATCAGGTGTGATCTTCTCATGATGGGCTCAACAAAGAGGACACAAAATGTATTTGAACACCAGCCTATTGTAATTTGGTCCTTTTCTGAACTCATTTGCTTGAGTTAGCAGCTCAATGAACTGTGCTAAAACACAAGTGTGTCCTCTTCTAGTCTTACAGTTTTGTATATTTTCCTAATGATAATAACCAGTTACTCTTTGACCTTTACCCAGTAAGGGCCTGCACTACATCACATTTATAGTTACACACATTATCACCTAGTTGCTGCCAAGCCCAATGAGTAGGCTATTTTACAGTAGCCATCAGTCTGTGCAGTCATCAGTCAGTTTAAAGTGCTCCCAGGACTTCATTTTGTTTGCCCTTTGATGTGAACTGGAGCATTGCTGTCAGCACAGGTCAGGCGCAAAAAACCCCTCAATAATCAAATTTCAAAATTGAAAAAATCGATTGTGTACCCAATGATCGAATATTCGGGTCCAGCCCTAGTGAACAGATAAGGCAAATTTCCTAGCTCAAAAGCACCTGGACATCACGAGGCATATGTTGCAGTTGTTCAGAAGCAGGTAATTCATATGTATGTATGTGATAAGCCAGTGGAAATTAGTGTACATTGTGGCTTGGTCCTTTCATCTTCCAAAAGAAAAGCATAGCTTTCTAGTCTGGTATGAAGTTACTTTTTAAGAGTATTTAAGAAGTCGTAAGAAGATCACATCTTGCGCTCTTGTGAATATGAGCCTTTAACTTAGTGTGGTTTTGCACTTTATGTGTGTTGCTGTCAGTTTAACTGATTAACTGCTGCAGGTGTAAAAGTCTGGAATTCAACCATTTATTTTTTTAAAGTCAATGTTTTGCAGAGCAGAGAAACATAATACCATCAAAGTCTAGCCATCAAAAAGTCAAAAAGACAAAAAGACCCAAAGTGCCAAATATCCTGTTTGCATGTGCTGTTCACTTTCCAACAGCTGAATAACACACATTCAGGTTTTCTGTCAGCATAGTGTAGTAAAGTCTAAATACAGTGGCAAGAAAAATAATGGGGGTTTTTTTGTTGACAGTGTTGCTTTGTTTAGGTTCCTTTAGTTTAGTTTCTTTTCTCTTCTTTGACCAAAAAAGGTTAAAGAAAAAACTACTCCTATCTGCTCAGGGGAGACAAGATCTTTTAAAAACACATGTGCACAATGCATTTTTTGTGTGTAAAAATGTAATAAAATGTCTGTAATGTCTTTACAGTTGCTTCTATTGTTGCAGTCAGAATCAATAATTGGTTGTGTAGTGACAAAGTGAAACATGTGGGATTTTGGATGCAAGTAGTAGTTTATTTGTGCCTTTCTTATGGCCACACAGTCATTGACCCTGATTGACTTACAGCAACATTTTTAAAACAGAACATACACGGTTACATTGATCTTGTCAACCAACAACACAGTCACACCTTTATTAAAGTTTGTCTTGTTCTCCGTCAGTACTTTATGACACACACACACACACAAACACAAACTTGTTCACATACACAACCTTCACATTGGCAGAGGCAGGCACTCAAATTTGAACAACTCAGTAAACACAAGGACCTGATGTGAATCGCATGAACTTCGGTTTGGTGTCAGTTTGCAGAAGACAAAAGGACAGACATATATGCACATAGTTGGTGGGAGGTTAGTACGGAGGTCACCAAATGCTTGAACATTTTGCTCCGAGAACAACCTCGACCTCGCCACCCTCTCACTAATAACAAGCTAACAAAATGATCAAATCACAGCATCTGTGTAAGATTAATTGTGGTTTTTGTCTCCGCTTGTAATATGTGCATATATCACCATCCATCCATCTACTACAGCCCTGCCAACACACTGTAAACTTCATAGTAACAATATCACAAATCAGCAGCAACTTAACAGGCAAACACTTGTAGTTTAGTTAGTGCTTCCAGTCGCTCAGTGGGAGTCAAACGTTAAACAGTTCAGTAGTGGTTACATACTCATAAACTTTATCCAAGTCAATTTTGTGTACAATATAAGCTAGTTTAGGACTCAGTGAAAATGTAAGAAGATAAAATAAAAAAAGACAGATGTGTTTTAGAGAAAGGGCCCAGGTGAATTTTTCACATTACTACAAACTTTTGTGTTCTTGATGTTTTACGAAGCAAAATTAGGAGTTTATTTGGGATCAGTCACACAAAAACTAGCAAAAAAAATTATTCAAGATCAGTTCTCCAGATTTGGCTGAAAAGGCATCTCCTAACTTTCGACATTGGCTGAATAAATCCAATTTAGTGACGAGACCACAATCAGTCCCAAACAAATGTTTCATATTGACAATGGCAACACAATGACACAATGCAAGGATAACAAACATCTTCTGCAGCATCATCACTACAAAAGTATCCAGTGAGTTGCATAATTAAAAAAATATGAAGATTGTTATTATACAGTCAGTGCAAAAGGTTCAGTGCTGAGCAGAAGTCTGTACTGCTCTGAATCATGCAAGTAGTCAACATAGACCAGAATGGTTAAAAGACACAACGTGCAAAATATCAAATACTGAAATAACAGGCAGAGTCATGATGATTTCTTGTGATTTGAAAGAAAACAAACCCGAACGAGCAGGCAAGAACGCCATTGGCTGATGAATGCCAACTTGTCCTTAAAACAAAGTGTATTTGTCCCTCACTTATAAATGTGAATCTTCGTTAAGAAGTTCACCGGCTCACAGAAAATCCAGAACAAAAGAAGATGAAAAATTACTTTTCACATGGTCAAGGTGACTAAAATCAAGATATGGTCTATGTCAGCTCAGTTCAGAGCAGTGGAGGGGAACAAAAGAAGTCAAGAAGACTTGGCAAGGAGCCAGGAGAGGTGAAGTATCTGCACGAAGCGCTTGTTTTTTTCCCCCTTTCTCCTCTTATTGTTTAACTGTCTCCACAACCCCTTGGACATGCAAGCGGCAACCATCATGAATAGCCTAAGACACCAGTCAAAATTGCCAATGATACACTTTACAAGAGGTGAAATTAGCAATAGAGGAGATAAAACTTTTTAGAGAAGCTGCAGCCAGTTTTATTGACTTCAATATGATTAGCCTTTCCAGATCAGTATCTAGTAGTTGTTTAGAAAACTGAACCGTAAGGCACTTCCGTTTGGTGGTTGCCGCTGGATACCTCCTCCTTTTCAGTCTCGTCTTTATCCCCTTCCCCTTCTCCCCCCTACCTTGCTCCCTCCACCTCCTTTCTCATCTCTTCCTCTCACATGCTCTGGGACCATCTCTCTCCTCTCCCCCTCTCTCCCCCCTGTGTGAAGTGGTACAGCAGGGTGGGTCTATCCCTAAAACTGTGCTGACCTGTCAGGTGATCCAACACTCCTCCCCGCTGAAGTCTAATGCCATAGAGTTGGGCTTCGGCTCGGCCAGCGCACAGGCCCCGCTCAACCAGCCAGTCCACCAAGTCACTGCCCCGAAACACACTTTCAAAACGGGACTGGGGATGTTGATGGGGTGGGCTCGAATCAAGATCATGCTGGTGTTGGTGGTGAGGATTAGCTGGGTTGTGAGCTTGGTTAGACTGGAGCTGGAAAATCTGCTCCTCTGGGATATTAGAGTTTGAAAGGTCTACTAGGTCTTCATTCTCAGGCTGAAGCCGGGGGCGGGATGGAGGTGAATATTGGCTACAGGATTCAGCTGGATCCTGAGTTTGTTGACTCTGGTGCAGATTCTGCGTCTTGTGGTTTAGTTGCTCCTGAGGATCCTGATGCAGGTGTAGGTACTGGGGCTGATGGGAGGGGGAATGACTCAAAGCCTCCTCCGTCAGTCCCCCTTCTCCAAACCTGTCATTATCAGAGGAAGGATTCACCTGTCGAAGCACTCACACTCTCCCCTGAGCTGAGGGGGTGACAGAGAAAAAACGAAAGGGGAAAAAGGGCAGGCAAAGGGAAGCAGGGAGGAATAAAGGAAATATCAGGGGAAGAAAGGTAAGTACAAGTATTAATAAAGGGGAGAATGGGGAAAGGAATAGTGGAAATAATTTTATGTGTTAAAAGAAATGAAAAGCACCCAAGACTCATAAACATCCAGAAATAAAGTGTTTTAGTTAGTAGAGTTTTTGTAGAGTTTTGTAGTAGGAGTGGCGATATTTCCTTTTGAACACCTCAATCGTTGTAAGATTTCACATTGCTTACTGCTAATAGTAAACAAAGGAAACACACTCACAGGAGTTAATTTAGTTCATTTTCCATTTTTGTCCCAGTACTATAGCCTGCACAAATTATTAAACTTTAATAAAAGAAATTTCCCATAGTTGTTTGACAATAGCAGCAGTCAGAACTCACAGCTAATGCTTCTTCTATATAATTATTTATATCTACAAAATTAAGTGTGTACTGCTAACCAAGATTAAACATAAATGTCCAACATACACTATAAATGTGGTTGAATTAGTTTTAAAAAATATGCTAACAGCTCAACAGATAGATATACATGCAAAGAGGATGCAGAGAAAACAAAATAATAACAACAGTAACAATTCGGAAATGTAACTGGTAACAGGGTCTTTAATTTTGCGGGGACACAGCAAAAAAACAAACAAAATCAAAGCTGGAATAAAATCTCTATGGTTATATAATTTCCATAGGCTTACACATTCTGCGTAACTTCCAGAAAACTCTCACTGACATCACAATGGTGATCATCCTTTCTACATAGCAATAGTTTATTTGAGGATTTTCAGTCAGGATTTAGAGCTCATCATAGCACAGAGACAGCACTGGTGAAAATGACTAATGACCTCCTAATTGCATCAGACAAAGGACTTGTCTCTGTACTGGTTTTACTAGATCTTAGAGCTGCATTTGATACCGTTGACCATCAGATCCTATTACAGAGACTGGAACATTTCATTGGCATTAAAGGTTTAAGTCCAATTTATCACATCAATTTCAGTTTGTACATGTTAACGATGAGTCCTCCATGCACGCCAAAGTTAGTCATGGAGTTCCATAAGGATCTGTCCTCGGACCAATCCTCTTCACTTTATATATGCTTCCTTTAGGCAATATTATCAGGAAATATTCCATAAACTTTCATTGTTATGCAGATGATACTCAGTTACATCTATCAATCAAGCCAGATGAAACTAATCAGTTGGCTGAACTTCAAATGTGCCTTCAGGATGTTAAAACCTGGATGACCTGTAATTTTCTCATGTTAAACTCAGATAAAACTGAAGTTATTGTTCTAGGGCCCAAGCACGTCCGTGACGCATTATCTAAAGATATAGTTTCCCTGGATGGCATCGCCCTGGCCTCCAGCACCACTGTGAGGAATCTTGGAGTTATCTTTGATCAGGACATGTCGTTTAAGTCTCACATTGAGCAAATTTCAAGGACCGCCTTTTTTCACCTACGTAATATTGCGAAAATTAGGAACATCCTGTCTAAAAATGATGAAGAAAAACTAATCCATGCATTTGTTACTTCTAGGCTGGATTACTGCAATTCCTTATTATCAGGCTGCTCGAAAAAAGTCCATAAAGACTCTTCAGCTGACCCAGAATGCTGCAGCACGTGTTCTGACAGGAACCAGGAAAAGAGATCACATTTCTCCTGTTTTAGCGTCTCTGCATTGGCTTCCAGTAAAATCCAGAATAGAATTTAAAATCCTTCTTCTTACCTACAAAGCTCTTAATGGTCAGGCACCATCTTATCTTAAAGAGCTCATAGTACCTTACTACCCCACAGGAGCACTGCGCTCCCAGAATGCAGGGTTACTTGTGGTTCCTAGAGTCTCCAAAAGTAGACTAGGAGCCAGAGCGTTCAGCTATCAAGCTCCTCTCCTGTGGAACCAGGTTCCAGTTTGGGTTCAGGAGGCAGACACCATCTCCACATTTAAGATTGGCTTAAGACTTTCCTCTTTGATAAAGCTTATAGTTAGGGCTGGCCCAGGTTAGTCCTGAACCATCCCTTAGTTATGCTGCTATAGGCCTAGACTGCTGGAGGATTTCCTATGAGGCACTGAGCTCCTCTCTCCTCTACTTTCTCTCCCTCTGTATGCAACCTCATCCCATTACTGCATGTTACTAACACAACATCTCCCCTTTCCAGTAGTCTTGTGCTTTCTCGTCCCTCTCCTCTCTCCTCCTATCACTTCCTGCAGGTGTTTCTGGCTCTGGAGCTGTGGAGTCTGGATCTGTGGTTGCGAGTCACCTGCTGCCCCCGTGTTCCTGCTCGACACCCTCTGCTACAATTATTTTTACTAGTCCTATTATTATTATTGTTGTTATTATAATCATTAATATCATAAACATTACTGTATATATCTGTACCATTTTTCATTTAGTCTATAACAACATCACCTGTACTGTCTGTACCTCTGTGTGTATATTATGTGGGCTGCCTCCCTCCCCTCTCTCTCCTTCCATCCCTCCATCTCACTTTCTCTCCGTTCCTCTCTTGCCCTCTCTCTCTCTCTCCTCTCGCCAACCGGTCGAGGCAGATGGCCACCCACCCTGAGCCATGGTTCTGCTCGAGGTTTCTGCCTCTTAAAAGGAAGTTTTTCCTTGCGTCTGTCGCCTAATGCTTGCTCTTGAAAGAAAGAAGAAATTGGTAAAGTTACTGACTGGTTCTGCACATTTTGGGGCATTTTATAATAAGTAGTTTATTCTTACTTAAATAAATAAGAAAGTAAGTAGGTAAGTAAGTGCAATTAAACCTTTCTCAAATCACTTTCATTTATTTACCATGTATTTACCATTGCTATTTTTGAAAGCAATTTTAACAAATGCTTTCAAAAAGTGATGGGCACATATCCCCAGCGTCCCCAGTGTAAATGACACCGATGCTGACACGTTTTGTCATGTTGACGTTAAACTACATTACATCCAGGCTGCTGCCACTGGTCTCCATAAATGAACAATTGGCTTAGCTAACATTATGGGTCAATAACAGTGGGCTATCACGTAGGTGGTGACCCATTTTGGTTTCAAAACGGCGAATTTTGCCGAAAAGTAAGGGGTTTGCATGCCCGATTTATTTAACGAACATTAGCTTGCTAGCAATTAGCAACGTTAACTAGCATTAGCCAGCTAAAACCACAATAGCACAATATATTTGCATTAATGTTTGCTTTGACTTTGTGTTGTGGGGAGTGTTGGTCATTTGTGGATGTCATTGGACTCCATTTCTAAGCTAACGTTAGCTAGTGTTGCACACTGCAGCGCTGTAGGGGAACGGAAGAGCACTGAAGAGCGTGCATAAACGTCACATCTTTTACAATCCGCCTACATTGGCAATACAAAGTGGTTAATACATGTAAACTGGTTCACATATGTACCTTTAACTCAAGTGTATCTTCCCATTAACGGAAAACAGTTAACACAACAAGCAGGAGATTTGGAGGGAATTTGAAATCAAAGCAATTTGTTTCTTAGACCAAACGTACTGTCTGACACATGCAAATGAAAAGACAAAACACACATAATAGTACTCGTACCTGTGTGTGTGTACTATATCTTGCACACACTGGTCTTTGTGGTAGCGGACAAACTGGGTACAGGTAAGTCTGACCTCCTCTGGTACACCTGAGGGACTCAAATCTTCTCCCCTGCCCTGCCACAGCCCGAGCAACCTGCCACAGACACAAACATTATTCGGGTTCTGTGTGTCTGATTTGAATAATTGATCTAAAACGAATCTAGAAACCATGATGAACAAGTCAGATAATCTGCCGATCATGTAGAAGTCACAGCTCACCTCTTTTTGAAAGGCAGGATGATGAGGTGTCTGTCCAGACCAAAGATCCCAAAGGACAGGAAACCCTGGGACAAACAGAATTATGTATTTACAGTAGCATTACTTTTGTACTCACCTCATGTTTACACACGTACATACAAGAATGCATACACACATGACACACAGTGGTACCTGTCCATAATTTGCCACGGCACAGAAGAACTGTAGTTCAAGATAAAGTCTTCCTGGATCTTTGTTCAACAACCACCACAGACAGCTGGACAGGTTCTACAGAGACATCAAGTAATTTATCTTTACAGTCTACACTTCAGCTTCCCATATACATTTATACAAATCAGCCAGGTGAAATAAAGCTGAAAATTAAATTAAAAAGTAGATTTTAAGAAACATAATAAACAGCATATTTGCTGCTGCCACTTAATGAGTATTTTATCCTCACTGCTAGCAGGCTGACAATGAGCAGCAGACAGAGGAGAACATGTCTGACTGTCTGTTTCTCATCTGTGGTTTGAAGCCCAGGTGGCAGCAGATTCAGTGGCTGCTCAGAGGAGGAAGAACACTGCAGCTGCCCGTCACACAGTGCCCCACTGTGGCCTGGAGAGGAATAGAAATATAACTGTTGTTAAATTGCAGGGTGATTGGAGAAGTTCCTCAAGTCCTGATATTTTCAAGCTGTTTTACATTACTACATAGCTTTCATCACACTTTGAAACAGTTGATAGTTTTCCATTAATTTAGGGTTTGTTTCGTACTACAAGTAAACATCTTAACCTCCCAGTACTCATATTTTTAGAAGTAATGAATGTTTAAAATTAATCAATTCTCTAGTTTATTAGACTGACATTAGACATTGCTGGTGTGTTGCTTTGGTTTCTGGCTCAATTCAACTACACAAAATGACATTTTTATGTTGTAGAAGAAAATGCATAAATCTCTTCTGTTTCATTAATTTCTTAACTAAATTAAATTGATGAAATATCTTTACTAACGGGTCATGTAAATAAATAGACACAATTTGCATGCAACAGATGAAAAAGTAAATGATCAGATTTGTGTTTATTACCTGTGCCGTTTGTGTGCTCCCTCTGCGTGCTGGCTATCATGTCAGGTAAGGTCTGGACAGGAGAGAAACTGTGGAGGTCTGACAGCACAACAGGAACAGTACAAACATTTACAGTAGATCAGCTGTTGAGTATTGGTGGGTTAAAGCTATATACCGATTTCAACTGTATTTATATTTCCATTAAAGCCCTGTCAAAATTTTAACATGTTACATCCAGATTTTTATTTTATTCAGGCAAATGTTAATGTGTTTCAGAAACATAAGTTTACCAACAGACAGAGACAGACAGACAGACAGAATCCAACTCAGAATAACCGACTTTAAATGACTTCATGTGGCGCTGCGTGGCTCTGATTTAACGTGATGCATGCTGGACTTAAAATAAGGTATGCTGGTTAGAAATCGTGTCCGACTTTAGCCAGCGCTGCAAAACGTCACCATGTCACATGACATTAAAACCTCGCGGGAGAAAGGCGACTGCAGGCGTCGAGTCTGGCAGCTGCAGTTGCTTTTCTCCGGCTGCACAAAGTTGGAACCACACTTTTGCCTGGTCTCGCGGCATTTTTCTTTGCAATTCCCGCTCACAGTAAGCTGATGCAGGTAGAATGTGTCCGACTTTATGGCGCCATTTTTATACCCCGCCCCTGCAGTAACCTGCAGCTCATGTTAGACTATGAAGTTGTCAAAAGTCAGCCGCCGTCATCTCGAACGCACCTATTAGCACAGAGCAGAGCTACCTGAGTTGATGCTGAAGGCAGGTGAATTTGCCATCTGTGGCTGCTGTTGTTGATGTTGTTGTGAATCCTCCAGGCCACCAGAGGTACTCAGCTCATCATTGGTGCTTGTTACAGCAGCTCTGTTCAGGGCCTGATAGCCTCTCTGCTCCCGGTTTCCCTGGCTGAGACCCATCAGAGATATTGCACCAAGCACCAGGCTGACAGCAAGCACAACCGCTGTGCAGATTATCTGAAGAATGAGAGAACAAAATATGAATAAAACTTCCTGGACAACTTAATTCTGATCTCCTTGACAGATTTAAATAGGTAATAAACAGACTTGAGCAGAGCAGAGGAAAGAGAGAAAACAAGACAATAATCAAAATAAACTGTACAGAGTGAAAAACAGTATGTAATGTAGAAAAGCAACAGGAGCAACCTGAGCTCTGCCATAGAAGAAGGCCGAGTCTATGGTATCTGTCCTCTCTCCTGATATCAGAAGACCGCCGATCATCAGGAAGGGAACCCTACATACAAACACACACGTATACTGTTATTCATACAGTTTTTATGTGTTTATTAATTTTAGATATCAACCTAGAAATTTAGCAGATCTGTTGCATCGTAACAAGGTTATTTTTAAAATGTTATTTGATTGTGCTGACCTACCCCCAACCCAAAATCATGAATACCCCTGGTCGGAGTCTTAACAGATCATCTTTGTTAGTCAGAGCCACACACAGAGGGATTAAACCTAAAGAAAAAGAACAAAAAACTTGTAGATACTGAACACCATTGTACACCACCAAATGTAGTGTAACTGATGGAAATTTAAGTGTTCAAGCGCTCATAAATATAAACACTCACCTGTCCAAATGTAGGTGCTATATAGAGACCCATAGAGGAGAGTGAAGGTGAGAATTTTGCCAATCAGATTATCCTCTTGTTTCACCAAGATATTCCACAGGATCATACTGACACACACCAAAAACTAGAGAAGAGTAAAGTACAGTAGGTTAAAGCAGGATAGGAGAGACAATGTGCTCCAGTAACACTTCCTGAATAAACGTACAGAGACAGAAAACCAAAATAAACCAAATATCACTATAACAAACATTACTGGTGAAGCACATGCTCTACAACATTTTCACTTAATAAACTGGAGACTGACCTGAGCCAGGAAAAGATTTAAGGCAAAGAAGTGAGGAAGTCTGTTAAATTTCTTGCTTAGCAACATCACCACTATTGTCCACACCTGAAAGAAGAAACAGGCACATGATCACAATTTTTTATTACTGTATTTGGAAAATCACTAAATTATTTATTATCAGTTTCTGTCCTTAAAAGCTCTAACTACTACTTACATGTAACTTAACCCACTGAAGTCTCAAAAATAATTCTTGCAGCTTTGATTCTTAATCATATCCTCATGCTTTTTGTGATCACCGTTTCATTATTCCTTCTTGTCTGATTGAAACACTGGGGGACTTGAAAAACATTAATCCACTTACCAGTGCTACAAGGCTGACAATGCTGATGTTGAAGCTAACGTTTTCAAGTTCTGTAACCAGGGGGGTCGGGTCCATTAGAGGGATTGTTAATAGCCAGGCCGACACATACATGATCGGTGCAGACAGAAACGTACTGATTACCATCCCTGATGTTACCTAAAGGAAGGACAGAAAGACATTTTATAACACAAGGCACGCCACTAACTGACAGTGTTAAAATGTAATCTAGATCCAAGTCAAATGTATTTTTAAGGTATTTATGTTTTCTTAATATACTGTGCGCAAACTTGGATCTGACAATACTGCAAACTTACAGTCTTGAGAGGATTGGAAATGTGTTGCCTAACAAATAAATAATCACCTTCAGAGGATATAAAATGTTATCGGGCACTTTATTGTGACCATACTAAATCACTTATATACCTTTTTTCCTGATAAAACAATAAGTATCTAAAGTCTAACAATAAATATTAACTTAAACCTAACTACATTAGTTATATTTTAATATAAATATTAGCAAGCAAAGCTAGCTTGTGTATTTACTTGCTTTAACACAAGACTTTCAGACTCTCTAACTTTACTCAGCTCGCTCCAACAGACAAAACACTTTAAAAAAACAATTTTGATGACCATGTGGTTGGTGCTTATCGTCTTATAAAATCTTAGTAATTTACTACTACATGTAACTGGAGCAGATGAATGTAACGAAGAATGTAATGTGGTGTTATGGTGTGGGGGATGAATGTTAAGTATTCCTTTTTCATGTTTTTTATATGCGCAAGTGTGTTTGTGTGTTTGTGTGATCCTTTTATGGCTTATTCTTGCCATGTGCCCTGACTGGGAGATAGGACATAATATAATGAACCCTTGTTTTTAAGTCAAAACACTTCCGGCCCCGCTTTAAAGACTTAAAGGGATGTTTTAGTCTATAGTCCTGATTTATGCATTTCACAAAAGAGTGCTTGAACTGTCCCTACACGTCTTCTATTTTTTTAATGTTTCAAATATTGTTCTGTTGCTTTGGGACTGTATAAAACTAATTTCTGATAAATTGCTGTTTAATGCAGAATAACTACATTAAACGTTACTTACCACCTCAAGCTCCATGTTGTAGTGTCCAGCATAGATGGCCACACTAGGTGCGGTTGGGAACACTCCATATAGGAAAGCAAAGTTAGATAAACTAGTGTGGTTGGCACTTGTACTGTTCACTCCTACATCCAGAATATCCACCATGTCTTTACAGACCAGCGGCATCACCAGGCTGGAGAGAGAGGAAGGGAAAGGCCCGTAAAAACTTAATTAAGCCAGCAAACGCCATTGAAATACGTTTTGTATAAATACCGTGGCAGCTTTGTGGTAAATATTTCCTTTGTTTTTAATGATTGTGTCACAGAGGAGTTATTTAAAATCTATGGTTATTTTTGAGGCTGTATGTGGTAGTGGGCATGGTTCTGAACTGCATCGTATTGAAGTGTTTCAAATATTCTGACCCCTTCATGTACTATAGCTTAATATAGTAAAAGAAATATTTCAAACACTTTTAAATATACAAGGCCACGCCCACATTATATTATATCACACACACACACACACACAGTCCTGCTTACAGTTTAGCTGTGATGAGGAGAATCAAGGCAACTCCAGTGTCTCTCGTTAGTTTTCTAAGCTGGCCGACCTGCCACAGAAACAGAGAGATTACTTTACTCTGACGATATCCTTCATGTTTATGCAGGGTTCAAAACTGTTGAAATGAAGTCAACTAAAATAACTGGCACTTAGCAAAAAAAATTTACATTATAGTCAATCAAAGCAAATTACATTTCGTAGGCATGTACAATAAGGCTTAACTAAATCAAACTTGAAAACAAGACAAACCAAATTCACCATAGTGAGGCCGAGGTAAAACAAGGCAGCCCCTCCAAAAGAGTTAGCCAGGCCATCAATGAACTCTGATAGCACAGCAGGGATCTGTTGGCCCAAGGCAAAGTGGGCGATGATTCCTATTATTACCACAAATACTACTGGGTTCTTCAACACCTGGAGAGGTGACAGAAGGAGGGTTAGTTTACATAACTTTAAAGATCTTCAAGTTTAAATTGAAGTTTGTCAAACTAACAAAAAATATTGCAACCTATAAGGGTGTAAAGGTGTGTTTATACATTACCTGTAGGACTACAACTCCCACGATGGCAAAAGTGCTGTGCTGTGAATGGCTTGCCTGCCTCCATTTTTGCACCTCACAAAGAGCGAAGCCGATGGGATTGAGGAGCATGAGGGAGACCGGGGCAACTAGATAGATGTACTGGAGGTACTCGGGATATGTGCTCCGATACAAAGCATCAACTAGGAATATAGAGACAGAGAGAGGAGGTGTATACTCTTTGTGTCTTAACTACAGTATTTTTCATTACTGACAATTGGTATAGGGAGTATACATCAGTGTTAAGTGTGTGTCTGCCTCACCTATAGGATACCCTAAGGCGAAGTCATTGCTCTGAGTAGCAAAGATAGCGTAAAGGCCAGCTTTGCTATATCTGTTGTCTGGACTGGCCACTATCAGAGTCAGCACACATACCAGCACAAATACTGTCACCTACGCACAGGATGGGAGCATCAATGTCAGGTTGTGTGTTTAAAATAGAAAGTACACATGTTGTAAAAGTGTGACCACACACACAAAAGATGCACAGACACCAACCTTAGCGATCAGGACACTCCAGAGAAACGACCAGATGACGTCTCCAAAGTCCAGCAGCACCATGTTTTTAAAGAGCAGAGCTGGAAGAGCAAACTTAGACACAAAGTTCCCCAAACCCTTCGCCTGGCTCTCTGTGATGATATCTGCCCTGTAGGTAGGAATCGAAGAATGAGGCATAAACACACATAAAAGCCACAGGTGGTTATTAACTTGTCACTTTCATACTTTCATAGTGTATCTCAGGAATTCCTGCACTAGGGGTGTGAATCTCTGGGCACCTCACGATTTGATCACGATTCAAAGGGCTGCGATGCGATTATAAAACGATTAATGATGCATCTTGATGCATAATTTTTTTCTATACAGGATCTCCGGATAATTACTAAGCATTAAATTTGTGCATTAAAATCCTACAGAAACATCTCCTAATTAGCTTAAAATGACTAGTTTGCATCACTAATTTACTTCATTAACTTTACTTTGTGACTCCTGAAAACTGAAATATAAAGTTAATTATCAGGATGTACAGTATGTATATAGGAGTCTGTACCGGATGTTCTCTACTCTTGACAAGTAACGTTAAGTAAGTAAGTAAGGACATATAGCTGAGCTAATTAATATAACTTCGTTACTAATATAGGTAATGTTACCTAACAGCCAGAAAACTCTCCCCTGCTGTACAGGGGAGATGTGTTTATTAACGGACACAATGTGACCTACACTGTACGTTTACTGCCAGGCTGAAACTTACTGCTAATAATTTTCATCGCTAACTTTCACCATCATGTTCTACCACTCGCTCTCTCTCAGTCAGGGGGAACACTGGTCTCTGTTATGTGCGTGCCACAGATGGTCTGAGCGCTGCACTTCTGCGAGTTCCATCAACATTACATTATCAATTAACATTTAAATAATCTATTTTTTTGACATTTGTTAATCCAGACAGAATCTTCTACGTCCGCATCGCGATGCATCTAAGAATCGATCATCTAAGAATCATCTAAGAATTGTTCTTCCCACCCCTCTCCCGCACATTGCTGAACCAGAACATGCTGGCTGCATGTATGTAAAACTGAAGTAGACCAAATGGTAATCTATATTTAACTTTAACATTTGGTTGGTGGTTTCTGTTTATCTTCCACTCTAGGAGCAATTGCATGTTGTCAATTTCCTGACAAACTGAAGCAAAAACCACCAATTTAAAAATGATGTAGAGATCCTTAACAATAATTGTTTTTGCACAACCCTACCTGCCAGCTATGTAGCCACACAATATGATCCCAAAGCACTCAAGGAGAGCCGGGAAAAGCTTGTCGATGGACATGTGGGGCACCACAGCAGAGCCTGCCAGGGTATTGTGGGATATGTTCTTCCCGTGGATCAGCACGTAGTTGTTGAGGGTCTCCATGATGATGATGATGATGATGATGGGATGGGGTGAGAATATTCAGTTGATAGCTGGGGACTATGAGCACTCTGAAGGAGGATAGAAAAACACAGTCATTGGCAGGAGTTAAATAAATCTAACATTACAGTCTAATGATAGAGAGCAGAGGATGTGAGCGAGTAAGCTCCAAATGTATTATCTTCCAGCTGGAGGGAACTGAAGAGAAACCAGGACTGACAAATGGTTTTAATATATAGAGTGAAGGAGGAGCAGTTGGCTGATTAACAGTCTCTCATGGTGCCAAGAATTCGCCCCTGTAGCTTGAACATACCGTTAGCTAAGTTAGCACATTCAAGTCAACCCGCTTCATTCAGTGATAGGCTATCTATACAACCTAACGACTCTGTAGTAAACTAACGTTAAAGCTAACTGCTTTCCATCACAGCACCTTTGTCACTGCCAAGTGACCGTTAGCGCCAACGTTAGCTAGGCGAATGCTAAAAACATCAGGGAATACAGCCTTAACGCGGCAGGCAATTACGTTCAACATCTGCCTGCTACTGATATATTATTTTAAATGACTCTGAAATTATGTGCTTACCCTACTTAGAGGACTACCTCTGGTCGGAAATGTACGAGATTCATTTGTCTAGCTGTTTGAATAAGCCCGTGTTTCTGCAGTTTGTGTAAGAAACGCTGCTTCTGAATGTGACAGCTGTCGAGAGTGGCAACGCCCTGAAAAGTGGCTGACAGGCGATTCAGCCAATCATCGCCGAGAGACGCTTCAAACTCCAACTGTGATTGGATAATAGCGTGCGATGTGACGCTACATTTGTGTGATAAGCGGAATGAATAGATATTTTTACCACAAAGCTTATTAAGTGTTTTATAGCATTATATCAGCTAATATAAGTGAATACTAAAGGCAATCACACAAAGATAAAGGTGCGCTGAGGGACTTTGTCATTGACTGGAGCCATTTACTCCACGGTATGCCAGTGAGGTGAGCCCTACTTCAGAGATTTACAGTCGTTTAAGGTTTATTGATAAGATTCTTGAGCATGTCAACCAAAGCTGAGATGTCAACGCTGTGAGCAGGATTTGAACCTGCGCGGGGAAACCCCATTGGATTTCGAATCCAACGCCTTAACCACTCGGCCATCACAGCTACACCTCTCTATCTCTCTACAGTCCTCAATCCATTGAAACATTAAAAGCCTTTGAATCTACCTTGGTGACATACATTATTTTTAACCAGTATCCACAGCCAGGAGCTTGATGAGGCAATTTTCTGGAAGCACTTATCCCTTTTAGTGTCATACTGCAAATAATAGAGCTTCAGGTTTAGGACACTAATTGGATTTTAGATGCAGCATCATCACTGAAAACACCACAAACTGACACATCAAAGAATTTATGTGTTTTTTACACCACTTATTTACATAGGTCCTGCAGTTCAGTTAAGTGTACCTTTTGGTGCCCTTTCTGTTCTATTGCATATAATATTTTACAAACATTACTATTTTTATTTTTATTTATGATGACAAACTGATAACTATTTATGAAAAATAACAAACCCTGGTGCGAGACATTGTTCAAAAAAGAATAGTTTTACACTGAAGGTCCAGAGTTTTTAGATTTGCATGAGGATATTGACACCAGAAACATCCCTGTATTCCACCAGTGTTCTACTTTAACTTAACAAACCTAACTAATTAAATGGTGAACAAATGAAAATACAATGTTTCTAATTTATTTGGTTCACATGCAAACTATCTGAGAAGACATCATATTTGGCTTTTCTTTACCTTGTTACTCATGCCAAAATTACACTGCAAATCCCAGATCCCAAAACCTACAGTAACTGTTTAAGGATAGGTCTCTGTCAACTCTACTACTCCAAAATCCTTGTATGCAAGAGGCAGTTTAATTATGGGAGAAAAGTAAAATGTCAAACAGTTAGCTAACGGCCTCTGCAAAAGAAAAAAACTATTTACAATTGTATCTCAGCAGAGAAAAATAACAATATCAGATAGTTATTATTGTTACTGCTAGTATAGCTACACAGAGCTACAAAAGACCTGGGGTCTTTCAAAGAGTTTATGAAGTCCCTCAAAACAGGAGCAGCCTTCAACCAATTACAAAAGAGAAATTCTTGATTGCACAACATTACTGGATGAAAAGCATGTACCACCATATTTTTGCCTTAATGCCTTGAAAACAACACTGTCACAATGTTTGGATTGATTATTTATAGGAGAGGAAACCCAAGAACTGCTGATCATTAGAGATAGTTAACTAGTGCAAAGTCTACAAATGACAACATTTAAGATATATCATATAACTGGCTAAAATCATTATATGTATTGTCCAGCTTTATTGCACAAACATGGGAATGATGCATACTGTTCATCTGATGATACATAATAAATCACCTGACCTGGATGTGGACAGTATATTTCACTGTCCTTGTTTGTGTTCAACTGAGCGTCCTTTGTGCAGGAATATTAAATTACTTAAAAAGCATTTTCCAATAAAAGCACATTTCACCCCAGGTAGAGCACATAAAGCATCTTAAAGCATTTTATTTATTGATGTAAATATATTTACTTCCATATGATTGTCTTTAAGAAAATGTTTCTTTGACTAAGACATGATAATAATGTATCACGTATGCAAGACCATTCAAAGCAGTGCTGTGTGAAGCAATAACATATAATACTGCACAGTTCTGAAACATAACTTAAAATAATACAGTCCTTCAATACCACTTGATTAAATCATACAGATACATACACAGGCATTGTGAGTCAAGACAACTTTTAACAAAACAGCAAATTAAGAATCAGTTCTATTGTAAACCAATGCTGCCATAAGATCATACAAGGTCCTTTAAAACATCTCAACCATAAACATTAAATGCATGCTCACATCACATTTCACAACAATCAAACCGTTCGTACCGTTCAGTGGTTCCAACAGAAACACACAGATGTAAAAACACATACTGTGAAGGCACATGCGGCTTTGGCAAATTAAACACCCGCATTTCCCCTGATTTTTAGCGGTGGCAGGAGGTTGTGGCCATTTTTAGTTTAGTTCCATGTCCGTCTATTATTGATGTGGCAATCGAGCTGCTGTATTGCTTCAGATTTTACATTTACATCAGCAGAGGAGATCCAATCCAGTTGAACAAACGTAATTTAAGGCACAAAAGACTAATTCCCTTACCTCTTATAAGCAGCCTGAAATTACAATCCTGAATAGAAAAAGGCACAAGGGAAACGCTGGTAGAGAAAGGAGAGAAACAGCTTGCCCTGCATTGTATCCATGCGGCTCCATTCCAATAATATTGCAATAAGCTTTACCTAATGCTGTCTTTGGTGTGTAAACAGACTGGGAAAGTCACGTGCTGCACGCTAAATGCTGGTTTATAGGTCAAGTAAGAGTGTGTTGTCTTTTCTAAAAGTGTAGCTCGTTGGTAACATAATATCTAGCAAGCAATTTCTGGAGTCTATCAACCACTGTAAGCAAAAGATGAAAAGGTGAATTAGTGGAATCAAGTCAACGTGGATCAAGCTTCATGAAAATATTGTTGTTCTCAAGCGAAATCTGTCTCACAGCAACCGGGTCACCGAAGCCCAACCAAAAAGAATCTTCCAGCCACAGGATGGTTGTAAACCTGAAAATAATACTTTTTTTCTAGTGCCTAAAGAGGTGCAAGTTTTTTTAGTTTTTATCATTATCTGAGCTCAGTGTACCAGAGAATAAACAGGCTTTGGTCTTTGAATGCTGAATCCATTCTGCTGCTACAAAAGGCACATGATGTAAATCTACATTATGAGTCTGTCCTTTTACTTGGTCAACCATACTTCTGGTCCATTTAACATGTTGCAGTCCGTTGATGAACCACATGACGCAGGTAAAAGCACAATGAGCGCAACGGAGAGAGAGACACACACAAAGGGAAACAGAAAAAGTAGTTCCAGGGGTTGTGTTTGCTGCCACATCTTCTTCACCTGGGTATAGGAGGAAGAGGAGGAGCTCCTCTCTCCTTTTTACCAGAACCTAGACAGAAACAAAGGCACAGAGGAGTTTGTATTTTCCTTGGCTTTTCAAGAGAAGATTTTATTTTCTTCCACCAGGTGTCACTGGGTCACAGTGCTGCTGGACATTGGTTTGTCTGCATGTCTGACAGTACATCTCAAAAACTATTTGTAAAAAGGTTGTTAATAGGGAATGAAAAAAGTTATTTTCAAATTTTGTGAAAGTCAAATATAGCAGATGTCCCGTGTTGAGTGAGCTTTTTTTTTTCTCTTGCAATCTCCTTCTGGACATTTCTCAAAACAGGCACAGTATGCATTTTTTATTTTATATATTTCTTTCTGACCACAAATCCCCAACAGGAAAAATTAAGGAACTCATTTCAACCTGCCTGATTGGATAATTATCAAATTGTGTACAGTTGTAATTTTTTTAATTTCATGGTTAATTTTACTGGTTGAAAAAAATCTCTCAAGCTGACAGAAGGGCTCTTTTTTGGTTCCTGAAAAACCTTTTGGTAATAGGACATGGGCAAAAAAAAAAAAAGCTTGCATACCAGAGAGTATCTTGTGCTCACGAGAAACTATCCCGTGGGATACTTTCTGGTTAGCACCGGATACTTTCTGGTGAGCACCACATACTTTCTGGTGCGCACGAGAAGCCCACATCCTCTTAGGGGCTCCTCAGATATGAGATACGTGTGTGTGTGTGTGTGTGTGTGACTGACCTCTGCCATCAGTCTTGGCCATCTTGCTGGGGTAGGTCTTTTGGAAGGGCACGTAGGGCTCAGGTGGAGGAAGGTCCGACACTGGATGAAAAGTGAATCGATACTCCCATTCATCTGTTAATGGAGAGAAATGGGGGTCAGTGGGCACATCATGAATATACAGTAAGTACATTAACAGAAGGACTTTTTCTTCTTCTTCTTTAACAGAACACAAATGGAGGGCAGTGGGTTTGTTTCTCACTTTAAACAGAATTCTTCCTATTTGACACAGCGCAAAAAAAGCAACATAAATACAGGTCATCAGGTTTTTTAGAAAACAGTAAGAGATGTCAACTGGTGCAGAGTAACTAGAGAACTTAGTGTGAGAAAGAAAGTTAAGTTTGGAAACTACTGCTTTCCAGGTTATCTTTTTCAGTAACATGTATCTATGAATGAAAAAAATGTCTTTGGAAATAAAATGTAAACCTTCACATAATTTCAAGATAAAAAAATGTCAAGTCATTCTAAAATATTTATAATTTTTTTATTTAAAAATTGCTGAAAATTAATAAAATGATTATTTTATTTTGTACCACTGAAAATACAGATTTCAGTCAGGACAGTAATATCCAGCACTACAAAGAGTATTCGCTTCTAATTCATCCGGAAATGTGATTAAATACCATAGAATTTTTCAGGAGAAGGATATTTAGGACCCCTTGTCACTTCTTGTCCCACTACCTTCCAAATCAAACTTACTCCCTTGGTGCAATGGGATAAAAACAACACCAATGGGAGGTCAGTGGGTTTCTCTGCCATAGTTTTGTGAGTCCACACATTGGAACTCGTGTGGTAAAAACAACACTGTGGGCAAAGGATTTCTCTTGTAGAGACTAGCAGAGTACTGTCTGTGAAGAACACAGTCAATCCTCTACAAGGCACAGAGTTTATATTATCTGCCTGCAAAGTTAACTCTGGCACACACATGGATCACTGTT